ACTATAGATTGGCGAGCCTCGTCAGTAGCAGCAACAGCATCACTGTGGCCAGCAGCAGCAGCAACATCATTGTCATCGTCGTTAGCAGCAGCAGCAGCAGCACAAGCATCATCGTCATCACAACCACTACTACCACCACCATCAGCAGCAGCAGCAGCAGCAGCAGCAGCAGCAGCAGCAGCAGCCGAATTCCCCCCCCATACGTAGTCGGGTGCGTGTGACTGGATTAACAGAACATATATTTTCTTGCTGGGATAGCTTAGTGTGTAATTGGGTAACGGGTAGTCATATCTCTGCGACACATTCTGGATTTCCTATATCACACCTCTGCATCTATTCGTAATGTCTCGGCATCTCTACGGTCCATTGCTGCACTCCTGCTGCCACATCATAGCATCCCTACAATAGATCTACATCTCTACATTACATCTTACCATCCTACTTGAAATCTCACCATCCTACGTCACATCTTGCCATCCTGCGTCGCATCTTGCCATCCTGCATCATATCTTGCCATCCTGCGTCATATCTTGCGATCCTACGTCACATCTTGCCATCCTACGTCACATCTTATCATGCTTACGTCACATCTTTAGACTCGACCTGCAAAGATTTCGGTATTCTTGTCTTCTACGCTCAGCATCTCTGCCTCCCAAATCCCATCATCCCATCATCCCTGTCTTCCACATCCCATCATACCTGCCTCCCACATCTCATCATCCCTGTCTCCCACATTCCATCATCCCTGCCTCCCACATCCTATCATCCCTGCATCCCACATCCCATCATCTCTGCCATCCACGCCTCCTTGTGTGTTTCTAATGGACTGTTGTCTCTTCTCCTTCCTACTTATTTGTCTACTTCTCTGTTTGTTTTTCTTCCCGTCTGTCTACTAATCTGTTTATAAATTTGTGTCTCTTGTTTCCTCGTATTTTCTCGTTCGCTCTCCTCTCTTTCTTATTAGCTATCAATCAGATGTCACTTGATCTGTCTGTTTCGTTTTTCGAAGCTTCATCCATCCGCCTCTGTGTGCCGTTAATGCACATCATATCTGCCAGACTGTCACAAAATCTGGCACTTTATGCTTGCTCCTTTCCGGCTATTAGTTTCCTATTTCGATACATCACTCTTCACTGATCACCATGTGTCGTTCTCGTCGTCAGCTTCGTGCCTTGATTAGCTTTACTGTGGTATAGTAGTAAGTACCTCACCGTGACATACTACTACTCCCTACTTTCTTACTTTCGCCCTCGTTTTTTCCTCTCCTACCAGCCATCGCTGCTTCTCTACTCTACAACTCATCATTCTGCTCACCTTATTAGCTCACCTTGACATCGTCAAGCTGAGCTATTGCCATGGGTCGTCGTTCGTCCGTCCGTCCGTCCGTCCGTCAACATTTGACTACGGTCAACGATAACTCAGGAACCGTTTGACCCACATGTTTGAAATTGGGTATAGTTGTTACTGCTATGCTCCCATATTAAACGTTCTATTTTGGAGCATGCCAGTCGACGTACTTTCGAGCCGCGGAGATTTTTTGCCAAAAATGGGAATTGCCATTAGTCAGTTCAGGTTCAACGGATTTTGCTCATTTTTGGTATGTGAATGAATAAGGGCTAGGGGCTTTGATATTTTAAAAAAAATTATGCAAATTAGGTAGGGTTTGGCAATTATATACCATATTATATAGACACGCAGATAACAAACAGTCTGTGGTGTCACACTCGTCTGGTTCGGTTTACAAGATTTCATTGACAATATCTTTAATGCAAAATTCCTGCTATGAACATATTATGATTTATACTATTATTATTATATTATTATTATTATGATATAATGATTTATGCTAAAAACATCAAAGCGGGTATAGCGCCATCTACCGTCACAAATTGTGATTCATTTTTGTTTATAAATTATTTATAATTTATATATAATATTATTTATTATTTTCACATAAAAAATTACACATAATTATCAAGAGTATATAATGGGAGTTCTCCCATATATACTCTTCGTTTCTATAATGTACGTCGATGGTTGCTCAATTAAAACTCACTCACTCATTTGTGTCCTTTTTTTGTGGTGAGCTACAGTGTCATTGACACTTTCATTTTTCTTACACGAGGACGCCTCCATTTGTTCCCACTGCGTTTTGTTTTCTGATACTTTTTGCATTACGTTCTCGCCATTGGTTTCTCTCTTTCCATGGCCCGTTGTCCATCTTTTCATCATCAGACCTTCCTCTTGTTCGTATCCCAACTTCCTTTATTTCCTTCGAATCTCAGCCTATGCCCACCTTGTGCGTCACCCTGTTTCTTACCTTATAAGGTCCGTCGTGAGGCTCGTGTGTGAATCAGTGCTTCTACGGCGTACAGGCTGCCGCGTATATCACTTCTTCATAGGGAATAATGTATTACTACGCACTCGCGCAGAGGTCGGGTTTTTCATTGTCGAAATATCTGTGCGAGTAGTAAATTTTGCATGCGCCGCTAAATTGCGTAGCATGTACATATACATACTTGATCCGATCCGATACAACGGGTTGCTTGTATAGCTGTTTTTGTATCCAAAACGCGTGCGTGCAGTGAGCACTTTGCTAGCATAAATATCCCCCCCCCCAATGGCCCTCCTCCGAAAAGAGATGCGGGAAACGGGGACGCCTTTATCCCGTCGGCATTCGAAAATTTCGACTCGCGTTCTTTCGCCTGCGCGGTTTTGTCGCGTGGGTGGGTGGAATTCGCCGCAGCCGCCGCCTGCTCTCAGCAGGGGTCGCCCTGATTCCTAGCAACCGCTAGCTCATGCTTACTGCCTCATATACCAGGCTTCTCGTTTTTCATGAGCAAGTTGGCGGTCACGCGTTTGCACGCAAGGTTTTACATAATATGTCTACGCAGCGTTGTGGGTGATAATAACGAAGCTCCTCAAAGATGTATACGTTGCAGACGATCTGATGTATTCCCGCCGTCGATATTTTCCTCGTAAGCCCGTTTTTTTACGTATCACGGGGTGAGGGGGTGGGGCATCGCACATATTGTAGAGATTTGTCGTTGTGAGAATGCAAGGCTGTGGATTCACCGGTGGCCTGGCCCGCATAGATCACTTAGCTATGAATGATGTGAAATCGTGTAGCAATGGACATTTCAGAACTCGGGGGCTTTCCGGGACATTCGACCCAGACACACTCGTTGTCTGTCTTTATGGATCGCAGGGCTTCTCTAGTTACACGGATTCTTAAAATACTGGAATATTTACCACCTTGCCTGTCTTCACGAAAGTTAGAGCTTCCATCATTGCGTGGCTTCTTTAGCCATTTTTTTTCTCTGGGTGTACTATCGTTGCATGACTTTTATGGTACTCATTGATGGGAGCATGTACGTGCGTTTATGTGTGGACCGACCACCAGCCCGCATACAGTGGTGGCTGCTTGCTGTGTGGGGACCATCTATCACCTGTCGGTGGCGACATCTATCAACTGTCTGTAATGACATCCGCCGGCTGTTGGTAGCGCCATCTATCGACTGTCGGTAGCATTATCTATCCGCTGTTGGCAGATAGCAGCAGCGATGTTAGTCAGCGATTTGATGCTAAAAATACGTCTCGAAATTGACGTATATTTGACATTGAAAATGCGTCTAAAAATTGACGCATATTTGATGTTGAAAATACGCCTTGAAGTTGACGTGTATTTTGACGTTGAAAATACGTCTCGAAGTTGGCGTATATTTCACGGTGAACATCATTGCGAACAAGTCGGCAAGAAACTGCTGTTGATATTTGCGAAAATTTGTATCGCACCAAAAAACAGCAAACGACTGTTTTGCTTTAGATTCTTATCGTAAGACATATCTAATATACTGTTGGTAAAGGCCAAGTTATCCCGAGCTTGGCCCGCCTTCATTTGCGGGGCCAAATTGGTGCGGGGCAGCGCGTATTTGGAGTGGATAGTGTGTAGAAACTGCAAAAATTTGACGCGTGCCTTGGCCGGACCAGTTTGATGTAGGATCAAATTTGCAGTATGTACGAGGTATTGGAATGTCAGTCAGAAATCGCACGCGCGCATGTATGTGACCCCGGCTGCTAATCTGACTCTAGCTCTAGACTAACTATAGCCCTTCGCTCTGTCACAGGCCTGACGCATGCATATCGCGCCGGGGTAGGCTCGACGGGTAGCTGGAAAGAATTCCCGAGAAAGGAATATGAGAACCAAGGACTTCTTGGTTGTGAAAACACTTATTTATTCAAAATTAATTCTCTTTGGGACACATTTGGCTGCCTGCATAGATGTACTGCATTGCGGCGTCGGCGCGGCAGTTGTGCGGGGTGCATGCATGTTGGCGTGCTTCGCTCTCGTCAGTAGCAGTGCGTAACATGTGGCAGCATGACAGGCAAGGCATTTAGCGTGTTCGGTAGCAAATGTGTGCTCCTTACTTACTTATCACGGCATATCGGGGCCACCGCGAAGAAAACACGAATGCGGGATAGCGTGTGGTGGGTGAGGGATGGCGCAGGTGGGCGGCGGGGGGGTCCTTTTTCTTTCTCAGACTGTCTTCCCCTTCTTCCTGCTCTCTTCTCTCCCCCTCTCGTCCGTCTCTCCATCCCTTTTTCTTTCTCAGACTGTCTCCTCCTCCTTCCTGCTTCCCCCCTCTTCCCCCGACCGCTCTCTTGTTGAACTCCGCGGCCGCGCATCCTGTGGATCAGATCGTGTTCGACTCTCCCCATGCAGCCGGTTCAGCGGTACTAAATAATCGTTAAGCCCCGACATTGCTCGCGTGTTGCCTCACACTTGCGCATACACGCCCCTGCAGCTCCCCCCCCCCAGCAGCCTTCTTTATTGACTCTCGTGGCGCGATCGATAATTTAGATGTGCATTAGCGGAAGCCGCTAGGATTCTAATCCGCCCTGCAGACGATGACCCATTAGTGCTGCCATCTGCAGGTTGCGTAGCGGCATATAGCGGGGGAGCCTGATGTGTGTTTTTCTCTCGTTTGTTGCTGCGGCAGGCCGATCTGGTCGAGTTCTATTACTTCTGGAAGAAATCGCCGGCCGCAAAGTGCAACGGTAACCGTCGGCAGCGGAAGCCAGCCAGCCGCAAGATGAAGAGTCGCCGCGGAAGCACGGAAAAGGGTGAGAGGCGTGATGCGACCGCCAGCCGCTACGACCGTTTGCCGTTTCCGCTCGAATATACAGGGATGAGATTCTTCCGCAGATCCGCGGAAATCCGCCGATTTGACAGTCCCAGGGGTCGATTTTGTGAAACGTCTAAATTCGTTGTGAAAATTTTGGGGGGGTAACAATGTAAAAATTTACATTATATAACCTCAACAGCACCTGACTGTGGACTGTAGAGTGTAGACAGTAGACTGACAGCGAAGTATACAGTGTATCTGTTTTTGTGTACCAGAAAACAAAATCCTCGTTTACAGGCTGCAGTAGAGGGGCAGACATTTGAGGTAGCTGATCACGTAACGACCATGCCTTGCTTGGGGGCCGGGTTTACATGTTGCTGCGTGCATGTTGTGTGCATGACTATGCACTGATTGTTCCATTCGCATTGTTTTTTTCATTCAAATCTCGTCGCAGCAAGGCAGCTTATGTCTGAGTAAAATGTCTGAGTAAAACAATGCAAGCGACGGGTGGAAACAGAAAAATATCATTATGTTTAGACATTTAATAAAAAAACTTGCCCTATTTTCAGCCCCCTGATTTCCTATTCATAGTTCGTTTGTTCCTTTTGACAACTTGAAAAGGTGATTCATGAGTCTCCTATAATGTGTTCAGAATAGCTTAGAATGCACCAAATTGCACCATTCTTTTAAAAAAATTACGGGGGAGCATGCCCCCGGACCCCCCTAGCGTGGCGATGACCTACGGTCCTCGCATTGCTCGCTCCTCTGTTTGCTCATTTGAATTTCAGCTGAAAATTAAATTCTCCAATCTCATCCCTCAATATATCGCACTCTCCGATTTGCGCTCGCGAGGGAGGGAGAGCCGTGGGGGACGTTTAATCGACGACGAAGACGACTTCGAAATGCGTTTGCCGTGTGACGCGGCGTCGAAACGATCACGTGAAAATCTCGTCATCGGCATCGATTTATTTTTTTTACAGAGAAGGAGGATAACGACAAGGGCTCTCCAAGCAAATCCGGTGAATCGGGAAGCTCTTTCAGTGAGGATGACAACGACAACGATGACGAGAACGACGTGGACTCGGAAGGTTCGGTGAACCAGGAGCCAGCCATCTGCTCTCACTGCAACGCCAAAAGTATACGTCGTCATTACGCGGCTCTCTCGCTCGTCTCCATTTGCACTCTCGAATGCGAGATTCTAGCTTTCGCTCTTTCTCTACCGGGCACTCTCTATCTGTCTCCCAGCTCGTTCGTTCTATCTCTTGTGTGTCTCCTGCTCTGACTCTCGCCATCTCTGTTTCTTTACACCATCTCAATATCTCTCCTCTCTCTCCCTCTCCCTCTCCCTCCCTCCCTCCCTCCCTCCCTCCCTCCTTCCCTCCCCTCTCTCGCTCTCTGTCTCTCTCTCTCTCTCTCTCTCACTCACACTATCCCTCTCAATATTTCTCATTACAGTAACATGCATGTTGCACATAACTACATACTCTATCATGTATACAAATCTTGTGGTATATAGGGGTAGTGTGGTATAGATTAGTTATACATAGCTTGGAGAAGAAAAGTACTTCTGTTCTACTCATCTACGTTGTTGCAGTATCGGATAAGGGGTTTTACCGTCGACGTTTGTTCTTACAGTATCCAAGAGTTTCCACGCCCGCGGTCCCAATGCCCAGCCCCTCTGCCCGACGTGCAACCTACATCTGAAGCTGAGGGGAGAACTCCCACCCACGATGGAGGCAGGAGGCGTCCCAGACTTCCTCTTCAAACCAGTCGCGATTGCAGAGGTCACCAGCAAGCCACCGGCTATACTCTCCGAGCAATCGGTGAGCTTCTTCTCTCTCGCTGCCACGCACACCATTCGAAAGGAGGTTGAGGAAATCGCGTGTATGTTAGTGTTGTCCTGCTGATGTGTGATGTACTTAATTGTCTACTCCCTGTATTTGTCAGCAGAGATAGAGTGGGTCATATGATGGGCAGAGAGTGTGTGCATATTCATGTAAGCATATTTTATGCATAGGGTGTGGGTGAGAGAGAGAGAGAGAGAGAGAGAGAGAGAGAGAGAGAGAGAGAGAGAGAGAGAGAGAGATAGAGAGAGCGTGGGTGTGAGAGAGGGGGGAGACGGGAGACGAGTATCATCCCTGCATCCCACATCCCATCATCCCTGCCTCCCACATCCCATCATCACTCTCTCCCAACATCTCACCTCAACATCTCTCCCAACATCTCACCACAACATCTCACCATCCCTGCCTCCCACATCTTGCCATCCCCGCCTCCTACATCCCATCATCCCTGCCTCCCACATCTTGCCATCCCCGCCTCCTACATCCCATCATCCCTGCCTTCCACGTCTCAGCATCCCTGCAGTCCGCATCTGGGCATCTCTACCCCATATATTACATGATCAGCACCCCTGCATAATGGCCGATAAACCCTGTCTGAGAGAACCTGTGCAGGTTCGTGTTATCGTGATCAGGTGGCGGCTATGAATCTCTGGGTAGGGGTGGGCGGTGTGGAGAATAGGGGTCGATGGGCAGGCTTCCTAACACGGCATGCTGCGTGCATGCGTGCTTGACACCCCCGCGTGACAGACACTGCGTGAGCGCTGCGAAATCAATACACGGGATAAGAGGGAGCGATAGCGAGAGAGAGAGAGGGGAAGGAGGGAAAGAGAGAGAGAGAGAGAGAGAGAGAGTGTGTGTGTGCGTGCGTGCGTGCGTGCGTGCGTGCGTGCGTGCGTGCGTGCGTGTGGCAGCATCGTGGTACATTATGCAGCCTCTCTGCGCGTGCATGCATGCATGTGCGCGTGCGTGCGTGCGTGTAGCAATGAGCGAGCTGGCAGTTCGCGTAGCGCCGACGGATTGCATTCTAACAGAACGGTTTCGCCACTATAGATACTAGTAGATTGATTGCGTGCGAGCGTGTTCGCTGCAGCTGCGGGGAGCGGCGGGCGGGGGGTGGGGGGTTACCGTACATGAGAGAGAGGATTTCGTGCGTGAGGATGAGGAGCAATAGATAATGTGACGCAACCTGTCTGTCGAGTGAAGAAGCGATTAGCATGATGCAGGCGCTCGCTATGCACAGCCGCGCGCATCGTCGTCATCATCCTCATCGGCCATTTGCATTATGCGGTGATCATGCCGGCGCGCGATTGAATCTAGCCGCGGCTGGATCGGCTGTATTGCTCGTAGGTTGACTCTAACCACGGGCACTTGGAGCGTTTCAATAAAATATAATGCTTAATAAATACGAAATCTATATACTACCAAAGTCTTAATGTTTATCTACTCTCACCTATTATTGCCGACAATTTCCTGTTAATGTCGTGCAAATGCTCCTCTGCAACACACATGTACACCGCACGCACGCTGCCCCACACACTGAGGGGGACCTGATCACGGTAGAAGGGGAGGAAGGGGGACCTGATCACGGTAGAAGGGGAGGAAGGGGGACCTGATCACGGTCGAGGAGAGAGATGAAACCAGGTGATCATGTTAAAGTGGGGGGCATGGTGAGTGATACAGCCACACGGTCGTGCTCGCAGGGCAGGGCCTGCGATTTAGATGGTCTAACGGTTTACACTCACACGCGGCTTTATATTCATGTTGCAGCTTCACGAGGCGAAGTATGATGCGACGAGGGCGCTGCAGTCACTCTCGCGCGTGCCGGCGCCGCGCGGCATCGAGCAGAAGTGGACGGAGGAGGAGACGGTAAGGCGGACACTCCGATGCTAACGCCTGTTGTTTACGTCGCGAGAGTTTAGCCGAGATTTCGTCGCCTTGATCGCTACTCTTCCATTCTCTTTTACGCTAACCTCAACACGTCTGATGTTACCTCCACCTTTACACCCTCGACCATACCTCCACCTCTACTCCCCCCAAAGTGTCTAATCGTTACACTGCACCCCTGACCATACCTCCACCTCTACTCCCCTCCCCAAAGTGTCTAACCGCTACACTGCACCCCTGACCATACCTCCACCTCTACTCCCCTCCCCCCAAAGTGTCTAACCGCTACACTGCACCCCTGACCATACCTCCACCTCTACTCCCCTCCCCAAAGTGTCTAACTGCTACACTACACCCTTGACCATACCTCCACCTCTACTCCCCTCCCCCCAAAGTGTCTAACCGCTACACTGCACCCCTGACCATACGTCCACCTCTACTCCCTTCCCCCC